GTGTCTACCTGGAGTTAATTAGCTGGTTTTATCCAGAGTCAAAACAATTTGCAGATCTTGATAGCGGGTGGCAGCTGGCGCCTAGGAGGTTCCAGTCTCTTTTTTCACCTTCTAATAAGCCAGCACTCGCCTGAAACAAAAGCTTTGCTGCTAACTGAAGGGAACCCGTATAATAGGCCCAGTCCCCCCCTGCGAGGAGAGCCCAGTGGAGGATCTGAGCAAATTGCCAGATATAAAATGTTATTGAGTAACCAAATTAACATAATACAAGAGCTCTTCCAGATAGTCGGCTGCCTGCTTACTCCCCTCATTTGCTGCTACGTGCCGAGATGATACGCAATACCCCCTCTGGCTCAAGCTCATTACAGGAAACAACGCTCTTTACAAATGGAAAAAAAAAAAAGGAAGCTGTTCGGAGGTGGCAGAGGACAACGCAGAGCAGAAGAAAGGCCTTTTTACTGAATGGGATACTGGACCTAATTAGCAAATCGGGCCCCGGTCCTTCCCCATCACCCCCATCACCCGTTACCTTTCATCAGAAACCAATAGAACAGGGGAATGGCACTCAACATTCCCAATTAATCTAGTAGCTCCTGATGCTCTGTCCTTATGGCACCCTTCAGACTGTGCCACGGCTCTGGACCTGGAAAGCCCTCTGTGGTTAGCTAACGCAGTACCCAAATATCCAGAAGACGCCACAGACAGAACCCAGTGGCTCAATGCAATGGTCACTTTCCAGGATAGGGCCTGCAATATTCAGTCCAAATGGGTCTGTGTGCAGCCTGCGAGGCATTGCAGAGGAAACGTTGAGCTGGATTATCTGCACAGTTGTTTCCAAGAACCACCCGCACTCCTTACAGGTCTGCAACCTTCCGATGGTGGTGGTGCTCTGGTGATCACACGGATGGCGCAGTGCAAAGCTCAGAATAGTCTCAACAGGTCACCGGCACACAGATGAATTCAATATCTCTGATATGTTTATTGAAAAATGTCACGGCATGTCATTAGAAGCTGAATCTAGCGTTTCGGGACCTCGCAGGGAGCCTTTATCAGAGAGACATAGTGACGGATGTCTGCACAGAGGGCCCAGCATAGTAATATGTAGATGAGGGAAAATATAATCGTGATAAAAAAAAATGGCCATAAAAAAAGATCAGTAGAAAAAAAATACATCCTACTGGGACACTAGCCGAGTGCTGCTCGTGTCCTATAACATGGCGCTCACTATTACTGTTATCTTCTGGAGTGTGCAGTTCTGATTACCGGGGAAATGGTCAGAAAGTCCATTAGCACAGCTGTTGCATCTTCTGGGCTGCGTCGTCACAACTTTTACCCGCTGTCTGGAGTTTATTTATAGATTTTCAACAAACGTCATTTTATTGCTGTTGGGCCACGACGCACGGCGGGCAAGAAGTGGCTAACGAGTTCAACGCACAATGTACCAACCGGATGGCACACTTACTACCGGCAATCAGGCAACGGTAGCTTTTGTCTGTCAAACATGCGTTTCTCTGAAGCACTTGACCCAATTTTTAGGCCGGCTTTTCCGCCCGCTGTGCCTGACTGCAGCTCGCTCGCTCTGCGCGGCACAAAGGGGGTTGTTTGTAAATGTCTTTTCAATACGGGAAGGTGAAAATACCTGGACGCTGATTCACAAAATAACAGCTTTTTTAATTTGTATTCATTTTAACGAAGGCGCGCTCCAGTCAAACATGCAAATAATGCATTTCAACTGCTTAAAGAGGAACTTTTATCTTCGGAATGACGACAAAGACATCCTTAGAAATGTTTAGTGATGACATTTTACAAACGGATACTTCTAGATCATTGACGGCTTTTTTTTTTTAAATTCTTTGCACTTTTTTCTTTTCCTCCCCAGACTTCTCACAGCGGCCATGTTTACTAAGGGCAGATTATGATATCTCGCTTCACTTCCTGGATCTCTGGCACATGTGACTAGGACATGTGACCAGCACATCATCTCAGGGGAGGAAAACGCCTTTCCCTGAGATCTCGTGAGATTACAGAGGAGATTTCCCAGCAATGTTCTGCTGATGTCACCTTCCTGGGATGCAACGCTTGGGCACAGCTTACATCACTAATGCCCAAGAGGACCAGGAAGTATAAAATCAATAACTAAGTAAAAGAAAAATATGTTTGTTTAGCTAATGAATGTGAGATGATTTCATATCAGCATCATACCTGCATGCTAAAGTGATTTTTAATGAAAGGGGGTAAGGTCCACACCCTGCTCAAAGCGACTTTGGTTTCTTTTATTCGGGCATTCGTCTTGTCCAGTCCGTTCACTGCGGCCCCGTCACTCCAGCCTCATTTTCGGAACCTCCGGGTCTGTGTGAAGGCAACAATGTGTTCCTAATGGAGTCTCCCATGAATTTTTACTTTGGAATACAGTTGGTCTTTACAGATGAACTCCAGGTAAACGGCTAAATAAACAGATTAATAGGATCTGTTTATTTGTCCATCCAATCCTGAGATTTACAAAGCTCTGCCACAAAATACAGCCCTGTCTGGCAAGGTAGCAGAACTGATTATTGTCTCCTGCACTTCAGTAACACTTACGGGTCTTGTCCCTCCCCCAAGCCTGCGACTGGCCAGTGAAAGGAGAAGCAGCAGACTGATGAGCTCATTTCTCAGTCGCTCTGCTCTCACTTCCTGTCAGCATGTTGCTTCTCGGTCTCCCAGTCTAAACTCCGATCACAGCTCTCTATTTATACAAGGCTGCATCTAACAGAACCGCTTGCACAAACATTTCACGTCGGCAGAAAACGTGCATGTGTTAGCTGGTAGTGGAGAACAAAGTCAGTTGGAGAATCAATGAGAGAAACCCAGCGGGGATACGAGGGAGAGACGTTCGTTAAGGTCACCGTGCTTCTGGTGCCAGTGAGATGTAAATCTCCGGTTTCTGCTCGGCTCTGGCTTTTCTTTGTTGTTTTCTGTTTGCATGCAACTTGCTGACGGGTAAAATCCAGGCTCGAGCGGTGACCGGGACTCCGCAGAGGTCCGAGACAGCAATCAGCGCTTTGTGCGCGGCTCCGAGGCCAATCGAGGATTCCGTATTGATAACTTCTCAGAAAGAAAGGACTTGCTTACAGCAGAGAATTTATCATCCGGCCGGCACTTTCTGAACTGTTAGAACTTCATCAGAAACCTTCGGAGCGCTGAAGCCAAATTACCCCTAACTCTGCGCTTATTGAGAAAACCTCAGAACCAGCGGGCGTACCTACCGCAAGGCCAACTAGGCAATTGCCTTAGACGGCACTTTCCGGGGGGGAGGAGGGGGGAGGCAAACCAGTAAGGATGCGCCAATATAGGTCCGGATACTGGGCATTTTCAGGACCATCTCCCTCCCTTCCTTCCTTCCAGCGCCGGCCCGATCATCTCCCTCCATTCCTTCCAGCGCCGGCCCGATCATCTCCCTCCCTTCCTTACAGCACCGGCACGAACATCTCCCTCCCTTCCTTCCTTACAGCACGAACATCTCCCTCCCTTCCTTCCTTACAGCGCCGGCCCGAACATCATCTCCCTCCTTACATTCCTTCCTTAATGCGCCGGCCCGAACATCATTCCCTGCCTTCCTTTACAGCACCGGCCGGAACATCCTCTCCCTCCCTTCCTTCCAGCGCCGGCCCGATCATCTCCCTCCCTTCCTTCCTTACAGCGCCGGCCCGAACATCATTCCCTGCCTTCCTTTACAGCACCGGCCCAGACATCATCTCCCTCCGCGCAGGCTCCTAAGAACGCCCGAGAGTCCGCGCAGGCTCCTAAGAACGCCCGAGAGTCCGCGCAGGCTCCTAAGAACGCCCGAGAGTCCGCGCAGGCTCCTAAGAACGCCCGAGAGTCCGCGCAGGCTCCTAAGAACGCCCGAGAGTCCGCGCAGGCTCCTAAGAACGCCCGAGAGTCCGCGCAGGCTCCTAAGAACGCCCGAGAGTCCGCGCAGGCTCCTAAGAACGCCCGAGAGTCCGCGCAGGCTCCTAAGAACGCCCGAGAGTCCGCGCAGGCTCCTAAGAACGCCCGAGAGTCCGCGCAGGCTCCTAAGAACGCCCGAGAGTCCGCGCAGGCTCCTAAGAGCTTCCAAGAGACCGCGCAGCCCATCGAGAGACCACAAAGCCTCCCGAGAGCCCTACCCCTACTCTATAGTATTTCCCTTTACTCTTCCCCCAGCAGCTACATAAACAGTTATGGAATGAGGTGAAGGGAGGAGCTGGGCCAGCAGAGACAGTAATTACACACTCCTAGTAGAGGAGTATGAACTATGAGGTGCGAGGAGGAAGGAGGCTGTGCTAGGAAACTGACCATTGCTGGATCAAAGTGTCTTAGCATGTTTACAGTCACATTGCAAGTGAATAGAAATCATTTAAGAAAGGAAAAATTCTGCAAAAAGCACATAAAATACTTGATATTTATGTGCATTTTCTTTTTTTTTTAGTTACAGTTAGTAAGAGGGACTTTTAAAACCCAGATCTTAATGGGAGCGCTGTCACTTTAAACAAGCTTGCCATCAGTGTTGAAGCCTACTTGCAGCTTGTTTAAAGTGACGGCTGGTGCCCCTGTTAGGATCTGG